GCCCTGCCAGGAGGGGCCCAAACACAGGCTCTGACCCATGCCCCTACGGGGCTGCCTCCCTCCCTGAACACATCCGTTCTCTCCAGACCTCAGGTCTTTGCTCGCGGACCCTCCCCCCAGAGTGCTGTGCCCACTGCCTCACACCAGGCCCCGTGGGTGCGTCAGAGCCTCACGCCAGGCCCCCCGGCCTCTTTCTCTCTCTGCCTTCCTTGCTATCCTGGTCACCTGCACGGTGCACCTTTTCACTTGGCGGCGGCCGTGTGCACTGCCTGCACCCAGACAGCAGGGGGCTGCCTCCTTGCTCACAGCCAGCTTCCTGGGGGCCGGATCTTGGCTCTGCTCCTGCCCACTAGCAGGACGCGGCCCCCTCTTGGGTCTAACCACTCCGGCCTCAGCGCAGTTCCCACCCATCCTCTTCGGCTGCCCCGCCCACCAAGACACAGTCATCCCCCTAGCTCAGGTGTGACGGGTCCAGGTGAGCTGAAGGGCGAGCTGTGATCTGAGTGAGGGTCCATAATGGGCAGTGGCACAGGGGTCTGATGGGCAGGTCTCCCTGAGCAAGAGAGGTGGTAAGGAGGCCCTGTGACCGTCCCTCCGGGAAAGAGGGGAAGGAGTCACGGTGTGCCCGGGGGGCCAACGCGGCACAGATGCCTGCGTGGGTGTGTGTGCAGGCAAACCCTACGTTAGGTAAGTTCTTTCAGAGAAGCAGTGTGCATCTGCGCATGGATGGGAGTGTGTGCATGGGTGGGCATGGGTCTGCGGGTGTGTTCACAGACGTGTTTAATGCACAATCTTACATTAACTTTGCAATTTCCCACTGTCAACGGAAACCATTTGTAACAGAAGACAGCACAACGGGAGAGATGCTGGGACTGCTCACAACAGTAACACAGACTGTAAGGTCCCAGCAGCAAACAAAACCGCCTCGGCCCTGCTCTAGGGGCTTTCAAGGGAAGGAGGCACCACCAAAGGGCTTCGCCCCTGAGGCGCTAAATGAGGCGAGAAATTTAGAAAGGTGCCTGTAGGGAACACGGAACAGAAGTTCCTGGTGAGCAGATGTCATCGGGGGCCTAGGGAACGTGCAACACCCCGAAGCAGACGTCCCTAAAATGTCAGGCTGCCTTTGTCACTGGCCCGTCCACAAACTCAGAGGGCAGCTCTTTGAGCAGGAGCCCAGCGAGGTCACGGAGCACACGGCCGTCTGCGAGGTGCTCGCCTCCCCGTCGGGCAGCGTGCCTGGCTCGGGAGGACTTGTTCGTTGCCCTCCTTCTAATCACGCCAGGAGGGAACTCAGTTTGGAGCCCCAGGCAAAAGTAAACAAGATGCCCATGGGGTCTGAAGGATGAGCGCCAGGACCTGACCTTTCAGGACAGCAGTAAGGTCACGTTCAGGAGCTGAGCGCTGCCCCGAGGCCCGCAGGCTGGAGCCTCAGGCAGGGTGTCAGAGTCCTGAGGGAGGATTCCTTCCCTGGGAAGCTTCAGGTTTTGATCTGAAGGTCTCCAGCTGATCAGGTGAAGCCCACCCACCGCGTGGCGGGCCATGCGCTTTGCTTATAGTGAACTCATGATGGACACAAACCACATGTACAAAATGCCTTCAGCCCGCAGTGCATCACTGGGTGATGGGGTACCGGCGCCTTGCAGGGCACACGCAGCAGTCGTTCCCACCTCTCCCTCGCTGCAAGCTGCCCTTCAGTTAGACCTCCCACCTCTTCGGGCTTCTTTCCCTTGTATGTCTCTTTATCTTCAGAATCAGAAGATTTTTTATATTTTTGGTCCCTTGGACTGAGCTACCTGAAAAGCTAAAGATCCCTGCTGTTCGTGCCCTGCCGGGATGCGCGGTAAGTCACGCGCCAGAGGGACGTGTCTTCCTCATGCCAGACGCCAGAGCCCTGGACCGAAAGCCAGGAGGCCCGGAGACCACAGACTCGGCGGCACTCAGCTTGGAATCCCAGGTGTCCACCTCTCTGTCATCCCACTTCCCCTATAAGCAGGGATAAAAATGCCCACCTCACTGGGTTGATGAACATTAAATAACATTTAGAGACGCATTAGTGCAACTGGGAAGTTTCATCACCACCAAACCACCCATTACCACCCCATCACCATCACCCCATCATCACTGTCACCCCATCATCACCATCTCCATTATAGACTGAATTTTGTTCCTTTATCATCCCTACATTGAAACCTAAACCCCAGTGTGTTTGTACTCAGAGACAGAGCCTATAGGGAGGTAATTAGGGTCAAATGAGGCTAGAGTATGGGGCCCCTACCCAGAAAGAACTGTTCCTACTAGAGAATTAGAGACCCCAGAAAGCCCCCTCGCTGTCCACAGACGCAGAGGAGAGGCAGTGAGACAGGGACCACCCATGAGCCAGGAGGAAAGCCTCCACCAGAAACTAGACCTGCTGCCCCTCCACCTCGGACCTCCCGCCTCTAGAACTGTGGGAAACAGATGCCCGTTGCTCAGCCCCGGGCTGTGCGCTGCCGCGGTGGCCCACGCCGACCAGGGCAGCCGCCGTCGTCACTGGGATGCCCACCCAAGTAACGTTCTAAGCGCTGCCCCTCTTCTTTCTTCTTCTCCTTGGGCAAAAAAAAAGTCACCCGTCCCTCTTCAGATTCTCAAACCCAGGCATCAGAGTGTCTAGAGGCCTTGACTTGAACATGGAGAACCGTACGTTGGCCCCAAAGGCTCTGATTCAGTGACAATGGGGGGAACCTGAGATTTTGCATTTCTCTCAAGTTCCTAAGCCTTGCTGACGCTGCTGGTCTGACATTTGCATTAGATCATTAAGCAAAAGCCTGGCCAGATGAGTGCTGTCAAATACACCAGGATTTCTGAGAAAAGCCCGCGTTCACAACAGCAGCTGGGTATCGCATCGTTTTCTAGGTGAGCACGTTTGATCCCTGTTAAATGACGCAGCACAGCCACCATCCCCCCGTGAGCTCAGCAGCCAGTGGTTCAGTGCTCATAACTGGGAGGGGAAGAGCAGTGAATAGAAAGGGAAGCCGGGGGCACGTCACAGGCAAGGATCCGTAGACTGAATTCACTCTCTGTATTGCTGGGACAAGACGGGGGAGTGGGGAGACCAGACCCCCGATGCGTGCGCAGAGCCTGACCTGGGCATGTGGAGCAAGCGACCAGGCACTGATTCCACGGGTTAGGTGAGCAACGCCTGCAGGGTGCAGAGTTGTATCACTCAAGGGTGTTCTGCAACTTGTCTTCCAGAACCATCACGGCACTTGATTGATTACTGTTAGCAAAATAGAGGCAGACGGGCTTGGGTTTCAGCTGGTACAGTATTGCTGATGGGAGGGTGCACCAAGCATCCTGCCAGGACTCCCACAAGAATGGGTTCCCCATTCCACGTGGCCACTGCCCATGGTGGCAGGGAGGCCACCAATAGGGACCTGGAGCCCTGGAGCACCGCCTGGCAGTTACAAAGCACAACACAGCCAAGTCAGGAACAGCTTGTTTCATTATCTGGGTGCTTGCTTACCACGAACCAAAGACCATTAGCTGCTAGTTCCTAAGCAATCTGAACAAAGTTATGACTTAAAAAAAAAAGGACCAAGGAAATATATTATCTAATGGCAAAAAAACTCTTTAAACCAAGATCACCAACCCGTAGCTAAGCGCAAAGGAACAGAGGCAGCTCATGGTGAAATGCAAGGAGCCCACAGTTCCCTCTTGATCACCACCGGGAAGAGCACGTTTCTCAGGCAGTAACTTTACCAGCAAACCAAGAACTCACTTCTACAATCCCTTAGACATCTGCAAGCCGCAAGATTCAGGACCGAAATACAGGCCCTCTGCTGTTAATGAACCTGGAACCTTCTGAATGGTAGCCATGAACGTCAAGTCCAGTTTCTGGGTTGAAGCGGCTCATCTTCCACATCAAGCCCAGATACATCAGCAGTGTCTGAGAAGTTAGTAAAATCAGCCATGCAAGTGGCTCTAAATCAAAGGCCTCTCTCAGCTCAGTGAGACGTAAAAATTATTTCTAAAGAAAAATCATGGTCAATTTTCAGTCAAGTGGAGATTTCTGACTATGCTGAGGATCAAAAAGCATCTGTATAATATTAGAGCATTTAACCAAAGAACAGGCTTTTCTCCCTGAACCACCTGCTCAGCTGTATCAAAACCAGGTGAGCCCCTGACCCACACAAGGGAACAGTGGCCTGAGGAGTGAGGCAGTGCCGCAAGCCACCACGTGGAGGAGCCTGGACGACACTAAGCCAAGTGCAAGAAGCCAGACATGAAAGGCCACCTTTTGTGTTGATGCCATTTATGTCCAGAACAGGCACAGCCATGGAGACAGAAAGCAAATAAGTGGCTGTCCAGGGGCAGAGCAGAGGGACGGAGGGACAGCCCACTGGGCACAGGTTTTTCTTTTGGGTGACAAAACACATTCTTAACGACACAGTGGTGATGCCGCCCCACATCATGAATATACTTAATGCCACTGAATGGCACACTTTGAACCTGTCAAAATAGTGAATGAATTTTGTGGGACACCGATTTTACCATGCACTCCACTGTGGAAGACCATGACCAAGCTGGGTAGGGGCTGCTCTCCCTCTGTGCTGGGACAGCAGGCCCAGTGGGGGTGCCAGATGGGTGACGAGCCACCTCCCCATGAGAATCTCATAAAGCTCCTTGCTTCCAGGAAGGGCAGGGAGCCAGCACATTCCACCAGCTGCACGATGGCAGCCTTTCCGAGGCCGCCGTCTTGAGCACTCCACATAGATGAGTCGCTGCATTATTCATGCTTCGGTCCAAGGGAGGAAGCCAGCGGTGAGCAGGGAACTGAAATATGTTGGCAGCTCCAGCACTGAGAGATGGAGGTCCAGGGACACAGCCTCCACACACAGACACCATCCCAGTGAGACGTGCCAACCTCACGTCGAGCACACAGACTTGAGCTACAGAAACAGCACCACCTAGCAACAATGCACACACAGGTGTCCCCTGTTTTTGACATCTCCTCCCTTTACCTGAAATGGGGTCTGGCTGTTGTAGTTTTTCAATTCCTTATTTCCACCTCGAAACAGCAGGACCCGTGCACAGCTGTCCTGTAAATGGAACACAAGAAATCTGTTTGTAACACAGGGGCACGTAAAGGGTCCAAATCTTCTCCAGAGGCTCAGCTCACAAGAAACTGGGGAAATATAAATGCAAAGTGAAAAGAGAGGGTATTTTTCATTCATCAGGGTGGCAAGGATGAAGGAAAACAGCCTTGTACACTATCGGTTGATGACCAACTGCTGCATACACTTTGCACAGCAACTGGGCAGACTCCATAAAAATTTAAAATATGCACACCCCATGGTCAAACAACTCCACTTTTTAAGACTATTCTACAGGAGATCTTGCGCACATGTGTATAAATATAAGTGAAATACCATAAGTAAAAAATGCAAAAAAAAAAAATACAGGAAGAGAAAACCTGGAGATGGCATAAATCTCCTAAAATAAGAGAAAGTGAGTATGTATTGTAGAACTTTCTTTGCCTTGGTGGTTGTAGAAAAAAACAGAGCAGATCGATAAAAACTGACAAGAAATATATCCAGGAACTTCTAAGTAGGAAATAAGTCTTGGAACAACACACAGGCTTAATTTCTATTATGTTTTAAGACTTGAAGTCTTTATTGTAGGAGAGTAAAGAATATGTCTGGAAAGGTAGGTACCAGTTACCAGGATTTACTGTCCCAGGAAGGAAACGCCCACAAAGTGAGCGGGAGGAATCTCCTGTTATTATTTTCTACACTTACATTGCTTAATGTTTCTAAAAGGCAACTGGCATTCATTTCTTGTGTGCTGCCCTCCCTGCCCCTGCCCAGCTCCTAGAGGCCACCCCAGCACCCTCCCTCCTCCCTGAACTACCCCTAGCTGGGTTCTGTTACTGACAACGCAGAGTAGGTTAATCACAGCAGCATTATGATGCCACAGTGAGGGACGTGTTGGTGGTGGGAAGGAGGCTATTAGAGCCCACAGGAGACAGGGTGGGCAGCCGGGGGGGAATTTCAGCAGGCTACCATTTTTGGGGGTGTGTATGGGGCAGTGGACAAGTAAGAGAGCAAAACCCCCAGGGCAGCAAGCAGGGGACCCCACCGGAGGCTCCAGGACCTGAAGGCTGCCCCAGGGTCACCCCTGAACTGAACTGGATGGGGCCCTGAGTGAGCAGCCTGGGGGGACCATCCTGCTGGCAGTTTCCTGGCCCATCCAAACCCAGAAACAAGGCCCTGTTGGGGCAGTCCTGGGGCCCCCAACGTCCAACTAAATTGCCATCAAGAAGGATGTTCACCTATGCAAAGGCTGAGAGTGAACCCCCACTGGGCACTGCCCTGCACACCCTCCCAGGCAGAACCCAGCCAGGACCCCAGGAGAATCCTTCACACGCTCACAGAGGGATGGCCTTGAGTCATACTAACCCACCCCTGGGGACACGATCCTCACTGTGATAGTCCCAGACCTTCAAGCGAGACCACATACCGACAGCTACTCAGCATCAGAGGGCAATCTTTGGGTTTAGTAACAGTTACACCGTGTGCGTGCATGTGCACAGGATGCACAGGCACATGCATGTGTGTGCACAGGAATATGTGAGCTGGCATGTGTGTAGGTGCATTGTGCTAGCATGCACACATGTGTTGGCATGAGTGTGCACACATGCGCTCTGCAGTGCTGCATCCCTGCTGGAGGCTAAGAGCAGGCCCACTGCACAGACACGGCAGCAGCGGCCCAGAAGGGGTGTGACAGCTGCAGCTTCGGTAACGGAGACAAGGGAGAAGGTGTGCGATTGCTGGGGGAGCATCAGCGCTGCTCGCGTGGCCACCAGCTGCCCAGTGCCCTTCCAAGTGCATCTGGTGCGACACACTGAGGTGCGTCCTCGCCCCTCCACACCAGTCTGCGGAGCACAGCCAGAGCAGCGGCCAGCATCTTCTTTGAGCGCAAAGCATGGGGCAGAGTATGTTTCCACTGCCTGTTGCCTTCTTGGCATGGCTTTTCAGAGACACTTCCCTGAACAGACGTGCCCTCCTCTGCTCGCCAGGCACCTCTGAGGCTCACCCTCTCCACGCACCACCTCCTGAGGCACAAATGCCAACAGTTTCATTTCCTCGTGAGGAGGCAGACCCAGAGATGGTCATTCGGGCACACAAGGACACTGAGCTCTGCCATGCCAGGGGTCGTGCTGGCCCCTGGGGACACAGGGCACTGAGCCAGTGATGAGAAAGGGCCATGTGACAGAGAGCGAGGGCAGGTGGTCAGGGGAGGCCCCTCGGGGGAGGCAGTCTCTCAGCTGAGACCTAAAAGTCAAGAAAAGCGCCATGTGACAACCAGCAAGGCAAGTTCAGGGGCCTCAGGGCTGGGCTCAGGAAGCCAGGCCGAGGGGCAGAGGGTGAGCTGGCCAGGGGCTGAGGGCCTTCGCTTCTGCGTGGACGGGGTTCCCATCACAGGGACACGAACTAACTGCAGGCACAAAGCCCAGGGCCTGCAGGACGTGGCTTAGGGGGAAGAAAGTCCAGGAGGAGGAGAGGTTGTGGGGTCTGCTCCCTCGGCTCCCTCCCCAAAGCAGCCATCAAGGGGAGATGCCAGTGGCCTGGGCAAGGATGAGTGGGAAGGGGACAGCAGGGAGGGGAGAAGACCTGGGACAGAGGGACGGTGAGGGTCAGGAGGGCAGCCTTGCTTTGGGAGCCACAGACAGAAGTGTGCTGCCACGGGGCCGGCACAGGTTAGGAGAGGGACGGCTGAGGGCCGCAGGAGGTGTGGGGGGCGTGTGCCGTGGACGGCGCTCCCAGAGGAGGCGGCAGTGGGCTCCGTCCACGCAGACAGGCTTGGCCACAGGAGCAGAGAGGGCGTCAGACATGCGCTGGTGACAGGTGTGCCCAACACTGCTGTCAACATCCAAGGGGACTTAACGCCGGATTCCCAGTTCCCGCCCAGGCCTTTCATCCCCGCCGCGCTCAGGCAGTCCCCACTTAAATGTCACAGACGTGACTCACTAAGTCCTCCACACTGCAACGCAGAGGCTCAGTCCCAGTTTGCATATCCTTGGAAACGAGCCTGTCTGGGCAGACAGAAATCGAGGAAGAGCTGAAATGAGTGAGATTGGGAAAAGGTAAGGTCGAAAGAGTTGGGACGCTGATGGCACCGGAACGGGGCTGGAAGCCTGGCTGCACGCACCGAACACCCCCGAGACCACGGCCCACACATGCTGGGGCACACGCGCACCCTTCTCTGACTTGCACACTGGGGAGCCCATCCCCGCCCCCCTCTGGACCACATCACTGCTGCCTGGTGGGGAAGGAATACAGGGCAGGGAAACAAACCCTGCTTTGCTGTTTGCTAGCTATTTTGGCCCAAACCCTGACTTCCTGACCCAGATCCAGGATGACAACCGACAGGAGCCACCAAAGACCCCCAAGGAGACGTAAGGGACAAGACCGTGTGGACGCCGAGCAGGACGCACACCTCGATGCTCAGGAGCACATTTGCCCCGGGATGGCCCCGCGGTGCTGATGACGCCGAGCACAGGGTGCGGGACACAGAGCACAGCCCACCCCTCCCATCAGCCCTCACTAGAACCGAGAAGCCTGCTCCAGAGAGGCAGGGCATATTTTTTATCTTCCAGACAAATTGGCCTGGCCTGGTAACCCTTGATACCTAAAACTCCCTCCCTCCCTTTATTATCCAGGCAGAAAATCAAACACTAGGCTGCACCCCCTCTCTGGGGCTCCTGGAAAGCCGGCAGGCGGCTGAGGGAGTTGGCAGATTAGACACAATTCGCTGCTTACAATCAAAGCCCTAATTAGTTGATTTCATAAGAGAAGAGAGAATATTCTGATCACAGTGTGTTTAAATTAGGAGTGTGCAGATGAGGCCTGCCTGAAATTGATAAAACACACACATCAATCTACAAACCTGGGTGCTTTTAAATTTAATAAAGAGGCCTGGCAAGGCGGATGAACAGCAGCGCCATTACCACGACCGCCTTCACCCCCACCGTCGCCACCCCCGTGACCATCCCCTTCATCGTCGCATCACATGACGACCTCATCGCCACTACCACCGTCATCATCGTCAAAGCCACTCTTTGCTGAGCATCTACTGTGTGCCAGGCATACCATATGTCTGCTTTCTATTCTAAGCCTCTTAGCAACCCTGAGAGTTGGGTATAATTATCCGCACATTACAGAGGAGGAATTTGCCCAAGAAACCAGCACGGTAATGGTTTGGACCAAATGGAACCCAGACCGCCACAGCTCCCGGCACAATGTCACTGCCCTGAGGCCACTGAGGCCGCATCTTATTCCTTCGCTGAATCCTGCCCTGACTCAAAGACCCTGCGTCCACACCCTGGAACAGTCTCCCCTTCCCCATTATTCCCTGCCCTGGATGTGTGCCCTGCACGCCACCCTCTTCTACCTAGAGGCGCAGAGTTGGTTCTTGCATCTGCACTGAGCAGGCCCAATGGGCCACATGCATCACACGTGCAGGAAGTGGGGACTGGCACAGGAGGCGCCTGGAATGTGGGTGACACGGCAGGACGGGGGTGCTAGGGATCAAGTGCAGCACACGGCGCAGGCTGGATGAAGGCTGGGCACCTCACGCCTCACGGACGGCTCAGGCAAGCACCCAGGGGCCGTGTGTGCAGCTGTGCTCACGCCCGCACTGGGGTGCCATCTGGACAGGCTCCGCTCACTGCGTGAGCTCGACACTCCGACGGTGCCGGGGAGGCCTGAAGACTGCGCAGCATCCCAGGGGGGACTGCGAGGGGTTCACGAGGCTCCATCCCAGGCGTGCAGGGACCCTGGGGCCCCCAAGCCTGTGCCTCAACAATGGCCCAAGAAGTAATGCAAGACAGGTACTCCAAACAGGTGGGGCCACCTGCACACTTCTACCCATGCTGCCAAGGGCTGTGTGGGGACTGGGGGTGGGGGTGGGGCTGGAGCAGGGCAGCCTTAGGGATCCCAGGGCCCTGGAGGGGGGCACCACCCACAGGGGCTCCCTGCTTGCCAGGAGGAAGTCACTCAGCCCTGGAGCAGGGGAGTCTGTCCACAGGAAGTCCAGGGAGGGTGTGGGTGTAGCTTTCCATGCCCAAGCTTAGCAAACTACGGCCCACAGCCTAAACCGACCCACTGCCTGGGTAGAGTTTCACTGGCACAGCCACACATCTGTGCATCTTTTGTGGCAGAGTTGAGTAGCTGCGATAAAGTCCACGTGGCCTGTGAAGCCAAAAACATTTCCCAAGTGGCCCCTTACAGACAAAGCTTGCTGCTAAGAAAAACTTAGGAGAAAATGCTCAGGAAAAGTCCTCCAAAGGCACAAGGCAGCAGGGGCTCCTGAGACCCAGCTCGGGGTCTGGCCGCGGGGTGGGGACGGAGGCGCGCATGCACAGTGACACCAGCCAGACCCAGCCTCATTACACACTCAGAATACACACCTCCAAAATGTTCCAACCTTTTCTAATAGAAAAACACCAACGCTTTCAAAGACTATCCTGCCCACAATTATTTCAAGTGACAAAAAACATGTTTTTCCTGTTTTTGCATTTTTGTTTTTCAATGATAAAAATATGCTTGAAATCTACTGGGGAGAATTAAGGAATGCCTTTCCCCTCTGAAGCAGTCATTAAGAAGCACATGTCGGCACAGATGCCTTCCCAGCCCAAGCCAGGCCTCGTGATGTTTTTCTAACGCAGCTGAGCATGGTACCTCCAGGCTCACACAGCCGCCCCGGGGCCCAGCACAGCGGAGGGCGCAGGGCTCCAGCTGCAAGCAGACCCCACAGGGTCGCTGTCAGGAAGGAGGAAGCTGGCTTTGCAGAGTACTCTGGGAGGCGCGGCCGAAACACTACCCCAAACCTACCAGGCTGAGCTGCTCTCCTACGCCAGGCACAGAGGAGACCCTGCAAGATGGGGGTTTACACCCCTGCGGAGGTGGGTCCCCAAGGCAGAGGGAAAGAGGGCCACCAGGGAGGGCATACTAATGGCCTGGCCGTGGGTGGGTGACCAGGGCTGTGTTGCAGAAGTTGTTTGGTTAACAAAGGCTGTCAGCAAAAAATACAACTGTCAGGGCCCCTGGAGGCAAGGCTTCATGGAGGGCTGGATGTCTGAGTTGGGTCTGGAAGGACGCACAGTTTTCCAGGGCAAAGAACTCAGGAGGGTTTCACAGCTGAAAACAAAGGGGGACTTCAGAGTGGCCGGAGGGGCTCGGGCTGGGATGTCCACAGATGGGGTCAGGAACAGACTCAGGTGCACGCTGCACGGTGGCCCCACCGAGGTCTGACGGCACCTGAACTATGCAGGGGGCTCCGTCGGCCACACCGTCCACGTGCTACAGCTCCAACCGCCCCTTCTGTGTCTTTCCCAGAAAGGGGACTGTGAGACAATGGCCTTGTTGAACAGACCCGCATCCCAAGTCCACCTGGGGCCTGTAGCAGCTGTGCCTTGGGGCCACCCTCTTTTCTCCCCTTGACTTGGTTTCTTCTTTTCTCTAATAGGGATAATCGTTCTCAAAGAGGCAGATGAAGGTCACCCACAGCTCTGGACTGAACTGTGTGCCCCCAGAGTCCCACGCCAGAGCCCCAACTCCAGGGCGAAAGGAGGTGGGGCCCGGGGAGGACTAAGGTTAAGTGCGTCATGAGGCTGACCCCACAGGAAGGGATGGGGGGCCTTATAAAAAGAACACCAGAGCTCCCTCACTCTCTGCCACACGGGCACACGGTGAGCAGGAGGCCGTGCGCAAGGCAGGAAGAGAGATGGCGAGCAGGCAGCAGTGTGCAAGCCAGGAGGGGGGATGGCAAGCAGGACCAGCCCCCTGACCTCTGCCTTCCAGCCTCCAAGGGCTGTGACAGTAAATGCCTGCTTTTTAGGGCGCCGGCTGTGGGAACTGTCACTGCAGCCCGAGGCGGCCCAGACACACACCCTGCCCCGCTGCCCCCGCTGACCTGGTTGTAGAGGGCACAGATGTGCAGGGCCGTGTTCCCCGAGGCGTTCTGGGCCCCCATGTCGGCCCCGTAGAAGAGCAGGTGCTCCAGGTGCTGCACGTGTCCATACCTGCAGGCCTGAAGCAGAGTCCATGCTGTGAATCAGGGCCCACGGGGGACACCCAAGCCCGACCACAGCCCGCCCCAATGCCAGACCAGGGCCCCCACCACATCAACCCCGCAGTGCCCTGGCTGGGGGCCAGGCAGGAGGATGCTCACGACCGGCCTGAGGACTTGGGCTGCGCTGCCGACAGGGGGTCGGCAAAGGGGTCCTGAGGGTCCTTCCATTCAGACCCGGGGCCTTGGAGCCCAGAGCCACGTGGGACGTCCTCCCCCTGGCCTCAGCAGCCCGCCCCACAGCATGCACAGCCGGCGGCTCCCCGAGCCCCAGGAGGAGGCGTGAGAAGAGCCAGGCAGGGCGCGTACAGACCCCGCTGTGGAGAGGGACGTGCGCCCTGCCTGTCCTCCTCCCAGGGGACCCCCAGCTATGGCTTTAAAATGCAACCCACCCTTAGGAGGCTGCAGGAGGCAGGTGGTGGGCAGCCCTGGAGTGGGACCCACCCCACTGAGCCCTTCCAGGAGAGCTGTGTATGATGCAGTAGCCAAGAGGGCTCCAGGGTCAAACAGATGTGGACCTGCCCCCCAGACCTTCCATCTTCCAGAACTTTCACCTCTGAGCCTATGTACCCACATGGAACCACAAACCCAGTTCCTCGCGTAGTTCCTGGGTGATCATGTGGATGAGGGGCCCCTCTGCGCCCCAAGGATGCATGGCACAGGCTGGCGCCTCCCCACAGCTGCTCACGGGGAAGCCCCCCGGGGTCTGGTGCACACTGCTCCGCACTGGGCCGGCCCTCTTCCCCAGGCAGAAATCAGTTCTGACACACCCCCACCCGCCCATACTTCCTGGGCACCTTGGGAAAGGCCGCTGAATGGCCAGCTGCCCCGTGATGTGTAACAACCTGGACAAGGAGACCCAAAAGGCCAGGAGATGGTGGTCCTGACCCCACACTTCTCACACCGTGGGTGGGAGGCAGCCAGAGGGAGGGGAAAGGCCAGCCGCCAGGGCAGGCACTGTGGGGCAGTCAGGAGCTGTCACTCAGCGTGTGTTCCTGCTAAGTGACATGGACAGAGGGGACTCCATCTTCGCACAGTCCGTGCGAAAGCACAGCCCTCCACCAATTCACAGAAGGAAAGGTGACGGGAAAGATATCAAGACTATTAATTGGATGAGCTTTAAAAAAACCCTTGGAAACACCACTCACAATTGCTGTGTCTCCTGCAAAATGACCTCATTGATGAAGTACACTGTCATTGCAGGTGTGGCTACTGTCGCTGCCCATCTCCCATATCCTCCTCTTGGGCAAGGGTACCTGCGTTTTCCTTCTGAGGTCACCCTGACCCCATTCTCAGAGGTCAGGGGGTGGCCTACCCCACTCCACCTGCAGTGGGTCCAGGACACAGGCCCGAGCAATCAGCATATTCCATCTCTCATCATGGGTGGGGACGCCCAGGTGACATCTGAGGGCCCAACACTGCAACATTTGTCAGAAATACTGGGAAAACAAAGTTCTCTCCTACCACAGAAAAAACTACAGGACCCCACAGCTGCTGGGGCCCACCCATGCAGATGAAAGGGTCACGGGGGGCAAAAAGAAGGCAGGCTGGAGAGAGAGAACAGGAGAGGGCCAGAGGCGGGGGCAAAAACCTCACAGAGCCAAGCGGCATCACTGCAGCCCTTCTGAGCTACGTCTTGGCCTGGACTTTTCAGGACGTCAAGTCTATACATAATTTTCATTTTCCCCTTAAACCAGTCAGAGTTGGAACTTCGGTTCCTTAAATTGCAGGAGCCCTGGCTGATCAGCTCTCCTAAAGGACGTCCAGGAGGCAGGACTCTGTTATGGTTTAATGTAATCGCTCTACAGGCAATAAAGAGAGCCTGAGTAGCAGAAAAGCATTTGACAATCGGTCCAGACTCATTATGCCCCTGCCCCGGTAAACCTGAGAGTTCGAGGCTTTCAGTTCCCTCAGTAGGATGGCATCACTCTCTCCTCACCAAAGATCAAAATACAATCAACCCTGAGAGATGAAACAGGGCCCTTAGCTCTGGGCAGAGCGTTTGAGAAAGAATCACCGTAAGGGCTTTGTTCCCATTCTATCCTTCCTTCTGTGTGCCTATTGTGTTAACACAAACAAGACTAGAAAATCTGTATAAATGCTAAAACAAAAAATAAAATCTCCCACCATCCTACAATCTTAAATTCTACCATTCACTTTTTTTTAAAGGATCATCTCTCTGCTGGTCTTTTCTCTTAAACGGCTGGTTGTTGCGTAATGGAGGCCACAGCTTGCTAAGGGACGGGCAGCCTGGTGGGCGGAGGGGGAACCAGTGGGGGCCGATGGGTCCGCAGACAGGCTGCACTCAGGGGGCTGAGCAACAAGTAAGTAAATGAAGGACAATGGGATTCAGCTTCTCACTGCCAAAGAAGGCAGTCCACTGCGTGGTGCAGCGGAAGGGCTGGCACTGGACAGGATTGGAAGGTCTCAGTGTGAACACACGGTTTCCAGTATACAGAGAAGTGAAGATGAAAATGTGTGTGCGTACGCACATACCTGTGCACGCACACCCCTAACTCTCCCTCCTAGGAGGGCCAGGGACCAGCAACAGCTCATCAGCAGTGAGCACACCTGATACCCCGATTTTGGGGTCTAAATCCCACTCTATACTCAAAAAGAGCCAGGGCTCCTTGGAGAAATGGCTGATTCCAGGGCCAAGACAGGAAAAGAACAAGATGATCCTGGATACCTGTCGAGCTAGAAGGAAAGGACATGAGCAAAGACAAAGGGGACATCTCCAACGGACAAAGGAGCCCTCCTGAAGGGGCTGCCGTTGGCCAGAGGGACACCAGGGACGGAGGACTACCTGCTGGGTACATGGAGATCCATGAGGCCGCAGTGCCATAAATACACCGGTGAACAAATAAGAGGAGAATGCTCTCCCTGATGACACGGAGCCACCCAGCAAGGGTAGGAGTGAGGATGGGAGTGCCAAGTCCCTCCCTGTTCAGCAAGAGCAGTAGTGACGGCCGCTCAGGCGCCAAGGACCAGAGGACGCTGCAATGAGCAGGTAGACGCGGCCTAAGGAAAGGGATTTGCCACAGTCTCAAAGATCCCACAAAATATTTACTAACTACAGAAGGAGAAACTACAGTGGAGAAACCTGTGCCCTCCACCTGATCAGCTGCTCAGTTAGTATCACCAGCAACATGCCGTCGGACGGGATGCCATGCCAGGAAGACAGCATCGTTTCTGTGATAGTCATGCCAAAATGCACATCACGGATCTCATCATGGGGAAACACGAACAAGGCCGACTTGAGAGACAACCTCCAGAAATGACAACCCTGTCCTTTCCTAAAGAGACCACGCGGACCGAGGGAAGGCTGGGGACCTCTCCCAGGTGGAAGGCTTTGACGTGGGATCCCAGATTGGATCCTTTACTATGAGGGACATTATCAGGACAATTGGCAAAATGCAAAGTGGCCTCTGAGGAACAAGCGTGTGGGAGTTCTTTGTGGATTCTTGCCACCCTCTGTAAGCGTGAAATTGAAACAGTCATTGACAATTAAAAAAAGAAATTAGTACTTGCTTGACACAAAGACCTCAAAGCTCACCAAGGTAAGAAGGATTCTCTCCCTCATAAGCCATACTAACCCTTTTTCCTTTTTATGAAAAGCGTGTTGTGATTTCTAGCAGCTTAAAAGGGTTGACAGGGGTCACAGAATAACTGAAATTTAAGAAAAAAACAGCACCCCACAAACTCAAGTATCTTAAGCATTTTCCTGAGTTGCTTTTTGGAAAATGCACATGCGTGAGGCTCCACTGTCCATCCACTGCCTGTGATTCTCCTGGCCATGTGTATTTGAAGAAGTCACCCCACAAAATATGGGGTTCACCCCAGTTAGGGCCCAGCTTTTATCACCCCATAATTTGGTGTAAATTATAGAGAAAAAGGCATTCCTCTCTTCAAACACTTTACTGCCACCTGCTGGACACCTGCTGTGACAAATCTACAAGCCTAAATTCACAGCACATGGGACAGCATCCCCTGGGGTTGTGCAGTGCAGCCGAGCAGTGCGGAGTCCACTGCACTGCAGATGGACAGCAAGGGCATCCACTTGGTTTTGTGCCCCAGACACACTGATTTAAATCCACTCCATGCTTCGGCGTTTCTCCTACAGCGTGTGGTTATAATGTGAGCTGGGGATGGCACAGCCGAACAGCTAGAAAGCAATATTCACGTCATTTCAGCTCTGACTGGGCTGGGAAGTGAGTTGCCCGTTGGTCCAGAGACTCTCTCTTGGCCAAACACATGCACACACGCCTTACTCGACCCAAGCCCCTGGCTGCCCCAGGGCCCTGCACTCCATGTTCTCCAAGGCCAGTTGTGGTCCTGCTGCTGGCCCAGCGAGGCACAGGGGAGACGTGTGGATGAGCGTGCAGACAGCAGTGCAAACCAGAAAGTGGCTCGTTCTGTTTTGATCGGTGTTACAGGCTCGGCTGTATCCTCCCAAAGTCATATGTAGGAGGCGAGACGGGCCTGCAACCCCCGAATGTGACTGTTTTTGGCGATGGAGGTGATTAAGGTAAAAGGAGGGCACTGGAGAGAGAGGGTCCTAACCCCACAGGGCTGGCATCCTTAAAGAAAGAAGAGGTCAGGGCACCGACACGCACAGACGGACGGCCTCGGGAGGGCCCAGGGAGGGGAGCCGGCCCTGCCCACGGCTGGGTCTCCCTCTTCCAGCCCCCAGGACTGGGAGATGAGAAGTCCTGGTGTGTGAGCCCCCGGTGTGCGGGACTCTGTTACGGCAGCCCTAACAGACCGTCGTGATCAGTCTGGGTCAACCGCTTTGTGAGTTTCAGCCCGAAATGATGATAAACACAGGATGTCACGCTAAGCATTCCAAAAGGAAAGACAGCCGTATTCTGACATCTAACGCTATGGTACCTGCCACCTGCCCTGCGGAGCCCATCGCTTCTACAGCGTGAACTCTGAAAACGAGAGGTTTCTCCGAGACTTCACTGCCACTATCACAGCAGGACATGGGCCCGACGAGGAGCAGAAAGTGGCGTCTATGCCGCCTTGGTCCTGGTGTCTCCGCCGCCCCCTCCCCTCCGGGAGCCTTTTCTCCCCACAGCCTCAAGTCAGGCTCATAAGAGACGGTGACTTGGTGGTCCTCGACCGCTCTGGAGGCCCTCGGAAAGGACACCTAGTTTAGTTCTCCAAAGGGAGCCTCACCCATCTGGCAGGGGGTGGGAGGGGCACCATATGGATCTGACCTCTCAGGTCAGTAGGGAGTCGACCCCCAAGGCAGGGTGGGCACCTTCCTGCGGCTGCCGCCGCTGGGGCCCTGGGGGCTGGGCAGCTTGCTGTGGGGCTGGGAGCCAGAGCGGCGGCAAAGGCCAGGGACGGGAGCTCCCAGGCTCCAGGCCATCCACCCAGTGGCCAGGGGACCTGGCTCTCAGGGCCTGGGGCTCTCATCCGTAAAGGAACGGATGGCTGGGAACATGCCTCACACCCTCCACGAGGCTTGGCTGAGGTTCTGAGGTCCCCATGCCAATGGCTGAGACTGTAGTGCTGAGCCCACACGGGTGCCATGGAAGTGCCATCACCAGGCTCATCCTGAGGCTGCCACCCTGGGAGGCCAGCAAAGCCACCTTCCCTGGCCTGACAGGATGCCTGCCCAGCACTGCAGAAGACTCTGGCGCCCAGCTCCACACAAAGCCCACCCGCCTGCTTAGCTAGCACTGGCCACCCCCTGTGGGGGCTCTCAGAGCCCCAGGGGCTCCCTCAGTGTGGGACAGTCCCAGTGCACTAGGAGAACCCCAGTGTGATGAAGAAGGCCAGAGCCGGCACCATCCAGGCTTGCTCATTCAGGCAGCCGGTGCTCAGAAGCACGTATGCCGTGAAGGGCAGAGACCAGGGCCACACCAGCTGACGGTGAGCGCCCTCGGGGGCACCCCCTCACTGAGGGGCTGGCGGAACCCGCCAAGGACTAGGAGCCGAGGGCCCAGGCCAAGGACTCTGGTGGGGAAGAACGAAGGGAGGGGTGTAGCCAAAAACAGCTTTATCTCCTGATTTAAAATTGGTTACAGTTACAAACAGTAACCAATAAAGAAATTAGAGAGTGACAAAATGTCTTTCATGGAATCCAGGCGCAGATCAAATGCATGAGGGCCTGTGAGCCACCTGGTTAACCACTGGCACCTATTACTTCTTAGTGACAATACCAGGCATGGCCACTGGATAACAGCAATGACAGCGATGGGGGAAGTGGTCATTGACTCCATGAGTGATGTGGCGTGGCCTGTGACTCCCATGACACTGACAGGGCATGGCCTGTGACTCCCATGACAGTAATGGTAGTGGCCAGCTGACTCCCATGACAGTGATGGGGTGTGGCCAGTGACTCTGATGACAGTGATGGGGTGTGGCCAGGTGACTCCCATGACAGTGATGGGGCATGGCCTGGTGACTCCCATGACAGTAATGGGAGTGGCCAGGTGACTCCCATGACAGTGATGGGGTGTGGCCAGTGACTCCGATGACAGTGATGGGGTGTGGCCAGTGACTCTGATGACAGTGACAGGGTGTGGCCAGTGACTCTGATGATAGTGATGGGGTGTGGCCAGGTGACTCCCATGACAGTGATGGGGTGTGACCAGGTGACTCCCATGACAGTGATGGGGTGTGGCCAGTGACTCCCATGACAGTGATGGGGCGTGGCCTGGTGACTCCCATGACAGTGATGAAGCATGGCCTGGTGACTCCCATGACAGTGATGGGGCATGGCCTGGTGACTCCCATGACAGTGATGGGGCATGGCCTGGTGACTCCCATGAGTGATGGGGCGTGGCCAGGTGACTCCCATGACAGTGATGGGGCATGGCCTGGTGACTCCCACGACAGTGATGAAGCATGGCCTGGTGACTCCCATGAGTGATGGGGCGTGGCCAGGTGACTCCCATGACAGTGATGGGGCATGGCCTGGTGACTCCCATGACAGTGATGGGGCGTGGCCAGGTGACTCCCATGACAATGATGGGTGTGGCCTGGTGACTCCCATGACAGTGATGGGGCGTGGCCTGTGACTCTAATGAGTGATGGGGCGTGGCCTGGTGACTCCCATGACAATGATGGGCATGGCCTGGTGACTCCCATGACAGTGATGGGCGTGGCCTGGTGACTCCCATGACAGTGATGGGGCGTGGCCAGCATTTATTGAGCCCTTCCTAGATGCCAGGTGCTGGAGTAAATGCTTCACATGAGTACCTGCAGTTACTGTCTCACGCGCTGTATGCACCCTTTACTCGGCCAGTGCTGGGGACGAGGAGAGCTCAGGGCTAAGTCACTGGCGCCAGGCAACGTGGACCTGGCTGCTAACACCAAGACCAGAACACGCTCCGACCGCTTCATGAGAAGGGGCTCTCACTCGCCCCAGACACAGTCAGGCACCCAGGGAAGCAGGCAGCGAGACCCACATGGGGCCACACCCGGGCACAGCTGCCCACGAGGGCACATGGAAATGGGGACCCGGCTCCTTTACCAAGCAGCTGTCCTCCTGCTGGTCTTTGACTTCCCCAGGAATATCCTGGAGTCCCGAGAAGGCCAAACCCATCACGCCTGAGACTGGAGCCAGGGAGCAGGGAAGGTGCACAGGCGGGCAGGATGTACCCTGCAATTAAAACTTCACCAAATCCCCTCTAACCTGGCCCACAATGCTCTTGGGTTGTAGGAATGCATTTGGGTGTTTTTTCACTTTCTTCTCTATGATTCTTTGTATTTTCAACTATTTCTGTGCAGAGCTGGGTAAGGAATCTGAGTTAAGTTTAAAGGCAGCTTGCAGACCTTTCAAAACAGTGCTATTCCCAAGTTGGCCTGCAGGGGGCGGGCATCCCGGATCGCTCGCAAGGCCTGAGGGGCTGGATCCCTTTGCAATGAAACACCTGGCCCTGCGACACCAGGAAAGCAGACCCAACCCTCCTGCGATCTGCCAGCCAGCCCGGCTGGGGCGCTCAGGATGCCTAGAAAAATGGGGAGCCAGGCGGCTGCAAAGGAGCTTCCGCATTCCAAGTGCAACATAAGGGCAGATTGTAAATGCAGAGCCAGGAAGCCCCACAGCGGGGGCGCTGCTCCTGGGCAGGCAGAGCCAGAATGGCCCGGCTGGCTGCACACGAAACCTGCCCGCCCTGTACTTCCTCCTGCCACCAAGCGCTTCTGTGTGAAAGCCTAGAGGCAGGGCCAAAAAGCAGGCTTCCACGTGAGGAGGCCACTAGCCACCCGGCAGCCCTGGGTGACTTCCTCACCCTCCCTGCGCCTGCAAACCAACTGGAGAAATGCAGGTTTATGCTTGAGGGTCTGTACGATGGTGCAGATAAAGGGGATGAGGACAGGGTTTGCACTCTTGACGGGGAGGCTGTAAGTCAGGAGGACAGCACTGTCTCCCATTCTTTGCCAAGCACCCTGCACGGCCACCACCTCAAAGGTCACAGCAGATACAGGCAGCAAGGCCAGGAGACAGGGACTTGCCTCTGTCACTGGACAAGGAGAGCCCAGAGCAGGGGAGTGGCTTCCCCAGACTTGTGTGAAAAGGCAAAAGACCAAAGGGTGGCTGATGACCCCGGTGGGTGAGCAGAACGCAGGACACAGGACCCCGGGAGTTCAGGGCTCCACAGTCCAATGCTCCGCATGTGCCAGGACGTGGTGGCAGCAGCTGGGAGGACTGAGACCAGAGGGCAGCCATCACCACTCACCCCAAGGGGCCCCTGGTGTGGGCCGGGGCTGCCCTCAGCAGCTTCGCAGAGCCCCTGCTCACCCCACAGGAGAGAGCTGGGTGCCTCTACAGGCCGCAGGTACTGATGAACCAGAGCTGACCAAGCACGAGAAAGGCCAAGGCGTGGGCCTGTCTGTGCCCCATGGCCCACCTGCCACACCTCAGCACCACTGGGCCCAGACCCACCCAGATGGGGCAGGCATGCAAGGCAGTGCTGGATGAGGGAAATGGACACGTAACCTGAGAAGCAAGGCAAGTCTTTGCTGATGAAGAGAGTGGCTCAGAGCATCCTCCTGTTCCTGCCCCCCAAACCACCCCTGTGCTCACAGGTCTCCAGGGCCCACTTCCATCTTCCTCCACCCAGAGACCCTGACCTCGACGCCCACCCACTGGGCTCCCTGGCTGGCTGGCTCTGGCAAGGCTCAGCCAATAGGAGGGCAGGAGAAGGCAGAGGCCGGGGTGGTTCTTCCTGCGTATCCTCAGGACACAGCTCCTGCTGGACTCCCTCCTCCCCAGAGGCCAGCCCCGGGGCTCCCAGGGTCCAGGAACACAGTTCCCTCTCCTCACCCTTGGTTCGTTAAAGACTTTCACCTGAGCCACCAGGGGGATTGTTTCTCACCAAGACTGCAGCTAATACCCCTTGAGCCCCTTGCTGCCTGACGGGATCTGAGAGGAGGCTGTGCCTGGAAATCAGGTATCGCAATGGGTCACCCATGCTCACAAAGCAGCTGGTGACTACAGGGGTACCCAGGATGGTGGGCACCTGGAAGGCTCATGGCTCCTGCAAAGGGGGACATTCACCCAACAACTCCAGGGGACTGTTACGGTGCAGAAATGCAGCAGGCTTGCCTAATCTTCCAATCACTCCAGGGAAGTCAGAAATGTGTACTTCGAGGGAGGCTGGGTCTGCCCTGCCCTGTCTAGGGCATGAAAGGATAGAGGGTGGCCTATCGCAGAGAACAGGGCGGAGAACAAGATGCACGTACCTGGTGGATCTCGTGCCAGCCATTCTCATCTTTGCAGCACACAGAGGCATGCTCGTGGAGGAGGAGCTCACAGCAGTAGGGGTCGCCCCCCACGATCGCAGTGTGGTACAAGGGTGTGAGGCCGTAACTGTCTTTATAATCCGGAGATGCTCCAAGCTCCAACAGGGTCTAGGAAAAACACCAAACACTGTGGTGACTGGTCACGACCCCTTTTGCAGGGTCTATCCATCAAGAAAGCAGCATGGGTGGGGGTCATTCGCCTCCCAGCCAAGGCTGACCAGGCCCCTTGGTTCCCGGGGTTTCTCTGGGCCCTCCCAGAATCAGGAGGCCCCACCTTACAACAATCAAGTTTCTGGCCCTGAAAGAGCACATGGTGCCCGGGTACGCAGGGTGTGCCTGTGCGTGGGGAGGTGGGGGAGACACTGCAGATGGGGGCCCGCGGCATGTGGCAGCTGCCCGTGGCCTGCTAACCCCTCCATGCCAGTGGAGGACAGTAAGGTGAAGGCAGTATTTGCCAAAAAAGAAAAAGTGTATCATGTAACCTAAAAATGCAGCATAGAATCGTCTCAGGTGCACCCTGAGGGTGGTGAAACTGGTCAGGGTGGGTCAGGAACATGGGATTTGTGAGGAAGCCAGCCGACAAGGAGCCGCTGACAGGAAGCTGTGGAAACCACGACTTCAGAGAGATGCACCATCCTGGGGTTGGCCCCCAGAGTGGGCCACCGCCTCCTCCTCCCTGCCAGGTTCCAGCAGAGTGGGCGTGGGGCAGCGGCCCTGCCGCCCGGACGCTCTGCACACACAGTGCCAGGGAGCAAGGTGCTCAGGACCGCGTGGGAGGGAGCTGAGGAGCGGAACCCACCCCCTGCATCGGCTCCCAAACACCCCGGGGGCGGCAGCAACGTCGGCTCCATGCTCCCAGACTGGGCTTGAAGGTTCCAGCACGGACCTTCCTGGACAAAAGCGCAGGCCCTCTGACAGTGGCAGACGCTGTTCCATGCAAACGCTAAATTCCACGAAGAAGAGGGTGGGCGGGTAGGCCACACCTCCAAGTCGGAACCCAATGTGGGGCACCTCTGGGGGCTGCTGGATGGGGAAAGCTGGGGGTGGGCTCGGGGGCCAATCGGGAAGGGGACCCCCCTGCGTGCGGCGGGCTCCAGAGCACACCTGCAGGGCCACCTGGTTCCTGGCTCGGGCGGCTCTGTGCAGGGCTGTCATCCCGTCTCTGGCGCGGAAGTCCAGGTGGGCCCCGCCATTCCTGAGAGCTTTGATCACCTCCACAGGGTCGTCCAGCTGAGCGGCCAAGGTCAGGGGAGCTTCTAAGGGACCCAAACACACGCCCTTTAGAAAGAGCGCTTGGGCACAGCGGCCCAGCCCACGGCTCACTCGGTCAAGTCCAAACGTCCGACCGTGTGTTTGAACAGACCCTCGGAGCAAGCACGGCCCACTCCCACCTGTGAACCCTGCAGTCCACAAAGCAAGGCTCGGGGTCATGTGCAAGGCACAATATGAGGACAGAGGCAGGGTTTCGCATTATCCCTTTATGCGCTACAGGTCTAAGAAACCGCGTGCTGCCTTCACCCTCAGTACACAGAAGCCTGCAGGGCCTCCCAGATGCCCCCTTATGGGAGGAGAGACTGGTGAGTGCTGAGTTTAAAGATTTGGAAGGCAGATGCCCACCTTTCTTCAGCTCAGGTTCACGGCATTTATGCGTGTCGTGGTAGATGCCAGGAACCGGGATACAGGGCTGCTGATGTGGGATGGGGGTTATGAAGGGTGCCCCTGTCCTGTGCACATGGCCCTGACCAGTTGGCTGGCTGCCGCTGAGGAGACACCTTTCCTTCCAGGAATCTCCCTCGTGCACCCACCTTCACACTGTTGAGCAAGGTGCATTATTCTGATGTGGTTAATTTGGGAGGCTTTTACATTACAGAAAACTGCAGTAAGTGATACGGCTACATGCAGGTTCCCGTGACCCAGAAACCCAGTGAGTTGGTAGTGGGCCGCTCCGGCTTCACATCCTGACAATAAAAGAACTGGGGCAGCTTACCCGGTGCTGAATTCCCTTCTGACCACCCATCTCAGTCACATTCTCTCCCCAGAAAAGGCCACTTCATCATGAATTTAGATCAACTGCTCCCACCCTATCTATTTTTAGTTCCTATGCTTATTTATCCGTAAGTTCTCGGGGCTGGTCAAACTCGCTGCAGGACCCACTCTGCACTGTGAGTCTCCGAGGCACAGGGCACAGCTCACCCGACTCCTTGTAACCAGTATGCGGTTTGCAGATGCCAGTGCACGTGCGTGATGTGCGGTTTGTACGTTCTCTCCTGATGGGAAGGCTACACCTCCCATCCTCCCCAGTCACAAACAGCTCACGGATGCACCCCAACATCTCTGCTGTGCACCTTCTCTAGGGACCTTCTCATGCAGGGAGTTTTTTTTTAATAGGAGATTTATGGGATAATAATGGGCTGTGGTGACAACAGGGATGTTTTCTGCACAAAAAACAGCAACGAAGCAAGGAAGGCAGGACACACACAGAGGGTTTGGGCCTCACAACTGGCTTGGGGCACAGCTGGAGCTCCACATGTCACGGACTTGGGAGAGACCCCTGCCCAGCTGGGAGGAGGGGACGGGATGTCGGGCCGTCCGTGCCTCGTCCCCAGCAGTGCCCGGCCACAGGTACCCAGAGGCACTGGCAAGACCTTGGGTCCCTGGAGTGAAAGGACCAGGGGGTGGGTGAAGGTGCTCCTTCAGGGGAGTGAAAGGTCAAGGCCTCGGGGGCCATCAGCAGCAAGCTTCCAAGCAAACCTCTTACAGCGAAGGAAGCGGGCCTCCTCACGCTCAATGTCAGTGCCCCTTGAGGAGCAGCGCCCGTCGGGGCCGGGCCAACCTTTCAATTAGGACGCTTTTTTCCTATCTGGCCGTCCGCACACCGCCAATGCAGAAGCTAGGTGGTCCAAAGGAGATTTTAAGTTTTGTGAAAATGAGTGAAGGGAAACCTCACTGACAGCGTGCCAGGAGGCCTGCAGGGGGGGGGGGCACCACACCTACGCTCCAGGCCAACTGCAGACGCCCCCCTAGGAAGGGACACCCTGAAACTCTTATTTTGGCTACTTTACTCCCAGCGGGAAAAAGTTTCCACCTACCCCAGCAACAGTCCAGCCAATGAAAGAGTGTCACGACTCAGCCAATGAGAAGCCATGACACCCCCAGTTTCCTCCAATGGGCTTCCTGCTTATTAGAGTCCCCAACCCCCTCCGTCTGTAAAACAGCGTCCTGTGCTTTGCTCTCCGGACTTGCCGGTGGCTGGGCTGTAGCTTATGTCCCAAGCTGCAATTCTCTGATGTTTCCAAATAAACCCCTTTTTGCTGACAAAATAACTGACAGTTTTATTTTTAAGGTTAACAGTTCATTCCACACTAGTTTCATAGCTGACTATCTCAACGACACCTTATAATGCAAATACGCATTATAATAAGAACCACTCCCAGGAAGAGATGGCGGGCAAATGGAAAAACCAGGAGGCTGGGATCACCACCTCCAGCTCCAAACTATAGCCCCCTTGGGCTGAGCCACGCCCTGGTGGGTGGTGCTGGGAGCATATGTGCCACTGGGTAAACAGATGGTGGCGAGAACCAGACAGCCTGCTAATGCTGGTGTGTCTTACGTACAAATGGGAACTACCAGCCCTTATATATCCAGGGCCATTTCATACACACGGCAGGTTCCTGAAGGTCCCCAAACCCTCCCGATCCACAGTGCAGGTATGACCCACTGCACCAGCTCACCGCAAATGGATCCCCAGAAGACTCTGAGAAGGGAGAACATCACAGCGGAATCAGGGCTCAGCCTGTGCTCACATGTGCATGATCTTACTTCCTAAAACAATCCACTTTATGCAAATGTGCGTCTCTAAAACAGGATACATCCCTTTAAGTCAGACTGACAATTTGCCATCAAAATGTGAAACCGTGGACAATGACCCAAGAATCCTTCCTGACTGGGAGTTTCAGAAATAAAGACATTTGTGACTGTGGTTGCCAAACCTCTATAGGAGACGTGGCCTCCAGCCCGAATATTCTAGAAGTCCACAAAATGGTCTCCTTGCAGTAGGAGACCCGAGATGTTTCCAACAAGCAAACTTAAGAGAGGTGGGGTTACACTCCTTGCCCTTCTGCCCTTATCTCCGTGTCACAGAAATGTGACATGTCACCAAACATCACAGCCTCCATAGCAAGGAGCCTACCTGCCATCCCACGGTGTGATGTCCACATTTCTGTGACAAATCTGGTGACCTCAATCACACCTCAGAGCCTCCTGTGCTTTGCTCTCCGGACTTGCCGGTGGCTGGGCTGTAGCTTATGTCCCAAGCTGCAATTCTCTGATGTTTCCAAATAAACCCCTTTTTGCTGACAAAATAACTGACAGTTTTATTTTTAAGGTTAACAGTTCATTCCACACTAGTTTCATAGCTGACTATCTCAACGACACCTTATAATGCAAATACGCATTATAACAAGAACCACTCCCAGGAAGAGATGGCGGGCAAATGGAAAAGCAGGACCAGCAAGAGGCAATGTGGGACTCGGGGAGTCCTTCCTCATTACCAAGGTCAGTGGTTCTCAGACGCTGATATTAAGAATCACCCAAAGAGATGATGACTGTGAAGGATATTGGCTCCATTCCCAGAAATGATTCAACAGGACTGGAGTGGCTGAGAATCTGTACCTGTAACAGGCTTCCCAGTGGCCCTGGTGGACCAAGGGGCATGCTTCCCTAGAGAATGTGGCTTCACAAACTTGACTGCAAAGTGACATCACCAGGCCCCACCCCCAGTTCCTAACTTCCCCAGTGTGGAGTATGACCCAAGTATTAGGTTTGGGAAAGTTCCCCTACAGTTTTTAATCTGCAGCAGGACTTGAGAACCATTGCTCTAAACACGTGCTAACTGCAACGAGCTCCACGGAGTGGCAGCACGGGCATGACGTGAGAACTGGTTAGAAATGCCAGCAATGGTCCCACCCCAGATTTACAGCATCAGAATCGACATTAACAAGATTCCCAGGACTTCCACAGCTTGGCCCGGGTTCGTCTGTGTGTAAAATGATGATTTCCTGTCCATGAAACAGACAGCCTGGGCTATCTGTTCATAAATCACAGGATCCGATCCTACGAAATCTAACTCCAGAAGTTAAAATAAGGACTCACTATCCACTAGAATATTTGGTTAATCCCCATCCCGGACACGAATGAGAATAAGACGCACAGTCACGGCCCTCGAAGAGGACAGTTGCCCATGCAGAGTTCCCAGGCGAGCACCCGAGGCTCGTCCAAAAGACCCTGGGCCTTCAATGCCATCGAGCAAGTACAGAGGGCGATGGCGGGTCTTCCCCAAACTGTGCTGCTGAGCATTCTGGAACCTGCTTCTCACACTAGCCCACAAGTGGGGGGTTGGCATCCCTGGTGTTTCCCACCGTTTGCTCCAAATGGAGCCATCACCCCTCTCCTCACGTGCTCCCCACCTCTGACTTCCGTGAACTCAGGTGGGCTGAAGAGGAAGCCGCCCCAAACGGGCACTGGCCGTGCTGATCGGTGATCAGAAACTGATACGAGGAAATTGGCACAGGTGACTTTTCTGTAGGGAAATCTGCCACTGGGGAACCAACAGGATGAAGGCAACGTGAAAGATTTCAGTGAAAAAGAACTGGGGCCTCAGATTCCAGGTAAAAATCTGTTACCAAAGGAGGTTTGGCTGGTTTCACAGAGCATCATGGCATCTGGCCTCGCTGGAAGCACACAGGCAGAATTTCAAGAGTGCCAGGGGGAGCTTTGTTCCCGATAGAATCACGCCATTCACAGGGGCCCGGGAAGGCAGTGGGCACCCCGCGATCGCTTCTAGGTCAAGCAGTTGGTCTGGTTCTCGCTCCCACACAGGCGTCCTGGAGGGTGCTGCTTCCACTGACAAGGACCGTGTGGGGGATGGACTATGGGCCTGTTTCAACCAAATTCGGGGGGAAGGCACAGGGAAGGGGTTGTGGTTTTAGTCTTTCCAGTAGCAAAATCAAGGAAGACAGCGTCCAAGAATTGGTCTGTGGCCCATGATTCTCTCACACCTAAAGCCTTGGACAATAAAACACACACCTCCACACAGGTACTAAAGTGGTTTGAAGCAGACAAATGGGACCTCCTTGACCAGGAGTTTGGAAAGTATAGGTCTTTTCGAACAAGCAAAACTCAAGCATCAAAATGAGATCCCACCGTGCACTATGAGAATGGATAAAATCGAAAACACCGACAACACAAACTTCTGACA